AAGCTCATTCGGACTGGAGTTTGTTTATTGGCTCTTAATGAAAAGCGATTAATCTAAATCACAATTGGGGTGGATCCTTTGCCGGGGCCCCGTAATGAGAAATGGCAGTTTCAGTCCTTTGACAAATGAGCTACTATTTCCCCGACCAAAAAGGGTTTTTTTTTCTCCCCCCTCTAGTGGAAAAAAGATAAACAATAATAAAATCAGCCCCCAAACCACCCACTTGTGTTCTCCTTCCTATCTCCCCCTCTCTCCCTGACAGCAAAATAAAATGAAACCAGCGCTAGCTTGTAAAAAAAAACATGGAGTGGCTACTACTAGCTACCATTATTCAGCCTCCTGGTCCTTCCAAGTGATTCTGCTCGAGTCCCCTTGCATGGAAGCATGGGCTGTGACGAAAAGATCCTAAGGTGATGCCTGGGTGTGACCCCTGCCCTTTTGGATAGGAGGGATGAAATCATTTTTTGCAGAAGCAGTAGCAGCCAGAGGTATAAGACCAGCTGTTGGCAGTTCCCCTTGCAGCTTCCTTTTCCCCTGCTTTCCTGCTAAAGTTACTCCTTTGTGTTCCCAGCTTTGTTGCCTTATTTATTTGATTTGGCAGCCCCTGTAGGAAGTGGTGTTTGGTGCACCACCTGGTATAAGCATGTCTCCTCTCGTCTCCCACCTCTTACAGTAAGGTCTGACTGTAATGGCCATTGACCCAAGGAGCTCTGGATAGGCCAGTAGTACTGGGCAGCCCCTGAGTAGAAGAGTTGGTTGGAGGATCTATTTTTGTAGTTCTCATCTTGGGAGTCTTTTGATGGACCATGAGCATATAGAGCATGGGGATTTGGGATCCTGTCCAAATGCTATTGAAGTCACCTAGAGCATTTTTTATCGCTTTCACTGGGAATGGGACCAGTGCACATGTAGTGCATATGATCTTATCTTCCTCTAGTTAATCGGACCCAACGAAGATGCTGTTTTGAAGCTTTAGACCCTGCTAATGAGCGTAGACCCATCATCACTTGTTGTAGGCATGGTTTACAACTTAGTACTGAGCCACTATGCTCTCCTGAAGTCTTCCTTGTAAAATGGCTTCATTGACTTTGAGCTGTATTAACATTTGTAACCGTCTTGCCTTTTATCTGGGCCCAAACAAGAGCTGGAATGATTTTCCCTTGCAGTCGAGTGGAAAGCGTTTAGTTTAATTGTTTTCCAAATGGGCAAACCTAGGTACTATTGGTGTCCAGAAGAGCTAGAGTCATGTATGGCATAGATTGGATAGGATTCTTTGTAGGGGTGCCAAAGTTCATGGAAAAGATGAATGAATACACAGGCCATGAGTCAGTCTTCAGTGGGATCCCAGAGTTCATTGATGCATAGAAATAGCTGGGAACTGAAGGAACCGCAATCGTATGTGAGCCGTGGGTGGTCTCTTTTGGGTGCATAGAGTTCTTTCCCTAGCTCTTTGCAACTTGTGTTTCCTGTGTGAAACCCACTGATAGCAATGGTAAGATTGATGTTGATCTCTCTGGCTCGTCGAGGTATTTTCTGGGGGAAGCTGCCCGTGTGACTGCATCCAGCCTATGCACGGTTGTGTAATGTTTTCTAGCAGTTGCTATTTTGTTCTTGTATCATTAAAATAATACCAGTCTAGATGCAATTGTGGTAATTGTATGTACAAATTAGATGTGCGGCTGCACCTACATTTCAGGTCTCATTCTGCAGTGCTTAGTCTCATAAATGGCTCCATTGGCATCCATCACTAGAAATAAGGACATGGTGGTGGAGTCTGTTGCCTGTCTACCCTATTTAAATGTCAGGCCCATCACACGTCTGGCTGCCCTGAGCTCTCTGTCTGGTTCTAGTAGTGAACATTTAATATATGGCATCAGTAGCTTGCTAACCTTTATTGGCATCATTGTGGAAAATCTCTTTATTCCCAAGCCTATGGAAAATCCACATGGAATATTTTTCAATCTGACGCTTGCTTACCATTCTGCATGTGCTAGCAAATTCTACTAGCGCATGCAGAGAGCTCTTTCTTACATAGGCAAAAGACCTTGAATGCAAATACATGTAGCTGGGCACAAAAAGAACAAAAAAAGCCTACAGTTATATATGCTATTAAAATGAGAGACTAAGGTGGGAGCTTTTGTGTGGAGCAAAACTGGGCATATGGTTTAATTTTATTAGGAAAAATCAAAATTTCAGAGTGTGATCTGCTCCTGAGCATTATGCTCTATTTATTTCTGTCTTCTGCTAGGCATCTTCCCATGCTGGCCAGCTGAGGACAGTAGTGGAAATGCTGAGCGCTGAAACCACTGTTACTTCCTGCTTCATTAGGATAGGGTTGATTTTTGGGGGTGTACAAGTGGAATCGTCTTCTGTGGATATTAAGAGAGAGAGAGAGAGAGAGAGAGTACCGTCTGAACTCCTGAGCTTGACGAGGGACATCTGTGAACATCACTCTTCCGCCTTCATCTTGAACAACGACATATGAGAGATGTAGTTAGCCGGGTTAGTCTGAAGTCAAGTAGGAGGCAGTGTAAATTTGCACTTTATAGAGCGCCCAAAATGTGTGTGTCTCATGAAAGCTTGTACAAATGTATAGCACAAGCTGCAAATATACAGCACAAGCTTTCATGAGCTGAAGCTCATTCATTGGATGCTGTGAAAGGATGTGCACAGTACAGTACTGTGTCTAAGGAGGACACATGCTCAGGCCATTTAAAATGGATCTTTTCCAATAATGATAATAATATCTCTTTTCTTTAAACAAGCAAAAACAGTACTCCTCCCTCTGAACCTCTCCTTGGTAAATAAAATTGATTGATTAAAACTAACAGATCTATCTATCTATCTATCTATCTATCTATCTATCTATCTTAATAATGGATCCTGACTGCTGTCTTTTTGCATCTGTTTCAGGTCGGTGCAATGCAAATAGACTAATGCGTTTCACGTCAGTACTACAGTAAATACCATCTAATGATTTCAGTGGGTCTTCTCAGGTGCTCAAAATTAAATGTTTGCATACATATTTTGCTGGATCGGGGACTAATCCACCAAGGGTCTTTCTATCCTTTTGGCTGAATATGTTTATTTAAATGGTAGTTGATTATATGAATTGATGTTCATGACTGCCTTGTAGTTGTTTACCTCTCTAAGACTTTTTGGGTCAAAGTATATCAGAGACAGTTCACAATACAAAATTACATTGAACCTCAGTTCTCCAGAGAAAACGTGACTGTTGCATTTATTTTCCTTTGGAAAAGCCAATGTCTTTCATTTGAATCAGCTACTGTATCAATACCCTGCTGTGTTTAGAATAAGCATATCTCTAGTTTAGCTCCCACTATTTGCCTATATTTTATTGTATTGACATTTGCTTTAATGTGATTTCTTTTTCGCAAGATGTTAATAAGATGGTGAGCTCTGTTAAGGTTTTCCTAATATTATTCCTGGTAAATTTTTACATAGAACTCTATAACCGATATTATAAAATAAACCTATTTTCTGGTATTGGTATTATTTTCTAATTAAAATCAGGAGCATGAAAGCATCTCCATACCTGAGCAAACCAAACTGTTTCATTTTCTTCAACAGGCAAAAATGTTTTCATTAAGTGCTACATGAACAATCCCTGGGAATCAGGTGGTGATTTGAGGCGCACACACTCATGCATGGACACAGAGAGGTGCACGTACACACACAGGTGTGCTTGTATACCCCACCCCTCAGTTTTAAAGTCCACATCCAAGTAGCTAAGTTTGCAAGCCTTCATTTTCCAATGATTCTCTCTCAACATCTTGCAAGGTAGCATGATATTGGACCTTAACCCTGGATACAGCCCATTCATATCTCGAGAGTAGGTGTGTTAGGAGGCAAGTGGTCCTTCTTAGACATTACTCTACTAGCAGGTTGGAAACAAGCAGGAAAAAAAAAAAACCTCTTGGCTTTTTGAGGCTATTTGGGGTTGTGTAAATAGTCCTACAGACATGGGTGACTGGGCCTGGCGGAGAGGAAATGATCAAAGGTCCATGCTTCTCCACACAATCATGTTATGAAATGTATGCCTCTGGCTCAGTGATTTATTTTACAATATTATTTCCAGTTTTGTACAAGGTAGGTGTATGTGTGTGTATGAATTGTGTGACATGGTATAATAGTTTTATCAACATGAATTCAGAAAGATCACACTACTCCTAAGTAGTGAGATCATAGGACAAGTATACAGCTCATGCCCAATGGGTACCTGTAGGTGCGTCTACACGTGCACATTTACTGCACAGTAGCTAAAATTACTGCGCAGTATGGGTGCGTGTCTACATGTGCATGCCTGTACTGTGCAGTAAATATGGCAACTTATACCAACTTGTGTGTAAAATTGATACCTGCATGATGCCTGATTAGTTACCACGCAGTAACACACATATAGACACCTTAGTGTGCAGTAACACTGTGTGTGTGGACTGAGTTGGGACAAACTTTAGACTCAAGTCTGACCACAGTGTTAATGCACTTTAAAGCCTGCACATCTAGACACCAGCCTATTCTCGCTTAGTGAGCAAGTAACTTACTGCGCAATACATTTAAGCCGGTGTAAATGCATGTGTAGACATGCCCAGTGAATCTTTTATAGCACGTTGCATTTCTAGCTGTCATCTGTAAACACTATATATGTTTAAGAAACTAGAGCTGATCAACATTTTTTGTCAGTAATATGCTTTTTCCAACCCAGAATGGCTTTTAGATCAAAACCAAAAGAGTCACGTTCATTAAAAATTGCTGGGTTTTTTTGACAAATGCAAACATTTGGAGAATCTCCATTAACTGCTGAAAGCATAAGGCCATGGATAAATTGTTGAGTAAGTCTGGTTCTATCTCAGCATAGAGCAATGCTTTCTATATTCGCTGGCCAGTTCATTTTCATATAAATATTTTAAATTGCATATATTTTCACTTTTCCCTGAACTCTGCCCCGTTTCTCTTTCTCTCTCAATGTTCCTATTTAGATAATGCTCCTGAGTGACCCAGAGATTGAGAGCAGCATATTGATCAGCTCTGACGAAGGGGCCACCTACCAGAAGTACAGGTTGAATTTCTACATCCAGAGCCTGCTCTTCCATCCCAAGCAGGAGGACTGGGTCCTGGCCTACAGTCTTGATCAAAAGGTAACCAACTCATTTCAAGTGACTTTGTCTGAGTCTGATGCAAGGGACGCTGCCAAGACAGAAAAGACATACTCTGTATATATGGAATGTAAAGGTGTGAGCTCCACTGACCTCAGCAGATCTACCTCCTAGGTTTATTCTGAGCCAGATTTGGTTTGGTGCCATGGGCTGGTTTTTGCTGCTGTAGCCTTGCAGAGCTTTATACCCGAGCAAACGTTGGTTTCTTTTTCAAGCAGTTGCTTTCCCAGTAGAAGTGTCTGGTTGGATCCATCCTCGTGGGTAGCAATGAGGAGGCCTCAGCTAGGGTGCCATGGGGGTTGGAGCTTCACCCTTCAAAAGTGGTGGGCCAAAAGGAGAGAATCCAGAGGACAGCAACAAAAACGAGAGGTCTAGAAAAAACGACTTGTGTGGTCAGACAGAAAGAGTTGGGTTTTTTTAGTTTAGAAAAGACTGAGGGGAGACAGGATAAATAGCCTTCAGATGTGTCAAAAGCGACTGCAGAGAAGAAGTTTATAAACTATTCTCCGTGGGCACTTATAGATGTGCTCCAAGAGCTGCGCTAATTCAAGTGCTGGAACATCACGTGTATCAGCGTCCCTGTGCTGGCAAATGGTGGCGGGGGCGCTTTAACTAAAGCTCATCGAACAAGCTTTAGTTCAAGTGCCCCTGCTGCCATGTTGCAGTGCCAGGGCAGTGATACACGTGACGCTGGAGTCTGCTGGAGCGCAGTAATTACCAGACTCCAGCAGAGCGTTGGAGCGTTGCAGAGCGTTGGAGCAGCCTACCGGGACATGCATAAGAACCCCATGTCTGCTGCTAACCAGGTAAGAAATAACAGGCTTAAACTGCAGCCGGGGGGAATTAGGTTAGATGCTGGGATACAAATGTTCCCTCACTGGAGTAGATTCCCAGTGAGGTTTTGGACTTTCTAGTATTAGAGGGTTTTAAGAACAGGTTAGATAAATATCTATCAGGCCTAAATACAGTTGATCCTGCCTTGGAGGACTAGATGACCTCCCAAAGTCCCTTCCAGCTCTGTTTCCTGTGATTTTTATACGCCCATTGGAAGCAGTGTGGGAGCACAGAGGTCACTGGGGCCATCATTTTGCCTATGGTCATTTAGGAATGGCGATGACAAGAGAGACGAAAGGGATGCCGGGGCCTGATTTGATGTGAGGCACTGAACTCATCTGAAAATCGAGTCGGTGTCGGAACGGATGCTGAGCTCTCCTGGGAGCCCGTGCTCAGTTTGCGGAGGCTGGTTGTTGTGGGGTAGGGCAGAGAGCCTTTCTGCTCAAAAACACTACACCTTTCCTGAAGTCATAACAGGCAGAGACTTTTTTGCAGTCCCTGCTCAGTCGTACTTTGGGGAGGAGAGCAGGGGATTTTGAAAGCCTTTGTAGCCTAACCAAGCAGTGTGAAAAATGAAAGCATTTTAAAGACCCAGGTTTAGTTGGGTTGTTTTTGCAGTTCAAGGAGCTGTTTCGAGCTTTGCTAAGCTGGTCAGTTTTCCTTCTTGGGCTCTTGTGTTTCTGGAATAATACTGCTTAAATCCAGGGTGTTAGCAACTCGACAGCCTCCCTTTCTTAAATATTTGTGCATCAGTTCTTTCTAGTCCCTTCCTTTCACTCCACTTTCCCTAGCAGTTACTTAGGACACACTTGAATAAGTTACATAATCTGCCACAGCGGCACCTTCAAACAATAACTCAGATATAACCTTTCCATCCCCTTGTTAACAGAATGCAATGGCAGGCACCAGGTGTTATGCCGTAACTCCTCAGATGATGCCTGAGTGACATTTGCAGGCGCAAAGCCATTGTAAATAGACCTCTTTCACAGTATTAAGTGGTTATTGTATGAAAGACTTAGTCAAATGTCAAATAGTTTGCGAGCTCAGATGTTCAGCTGAACAGAAAATTTTGAAGTTGGAGTGAAAGACCCAATAGATTCGTTTGATGTTGCTGAATGGTTTGATGCTGCTTTTCAACCAGAAGTAAGGATTTTAAATGGCATTTGTGTTTGTACAAAGACAGCTCGGTAAGGAAGAGATGGCTGATGAGGTAAGCAGGTGGGATACGTTGAATGTGATGTGTCGAGCGTGCGTCTCCAACGAAGCACCGCTGTAATAGTAGGGAAGCATCTGGTGTTTTGGTTGAGATGAGAAGGCGACTGTGCATTGCTATAAGGTGCATGTATGCCATGCGAATATGTTTAAGGGACCTCAAAATAGGTTAGAAAGCCTTTAGAGCAGGGGAAGGCAATTATTTCAGGCAAAGGGCCACTTACCTAGTTTTGGCAGTCTGTCGAGGGCCACATGGGTAGCCCCACCCCTTGACAGGTGCCCCGCCCCCTGGTCACCATCTTGGGACCAGTGTCCCAATGTCTTGGGACCAATGTCCCAGGGCCAGCACCGTTCGGGACCAAAGCGGGGCACAGGCCAGCAGGGGTCTGTGAAGCCGGGCTGGGCTGCACCAGCAGGGAGAGTGGGGAGCTGGCCTGGCTCCATAGAGCCCCTGCCAGCTGGGACCCTGTGCTCCTGCCACCCTGCTCTGGGCCTCGCTGGTACTGGCCCTGGGACACTGGTGTGGGCCCTGTGCTCCCGCTAGCTCCCATGCCAACTCGCACCCAGTACCCCCCAGCCCCGCGGTACAGGCAGGGGGCAGCACGCAGCCCTGACCCCTTGCTCTCCGGCAGAGAAGAAGCTGGTGCTGAGCATGGGGGAAAAGTGGCCCCTCTCGCGCCCCATGGCCGGTGCTCCCTGCTGCAGGTGCTTGCAGCCCATGCTGGGCTGTCTGGAGCAGGCACAGGCAGCCCCATATGGGCTGCAAGTGGCTACAGTGCAGGGCGCTGGCCACTGGGTGAGCGAGGGACTGCTTTTCCCTGCACTCAGCACCAGCTTGTAACCTGCCCCTGCTGCCAGCCTGGGCTCTGTGCCGGCTCCAGGCTTGCTTGTTGGTGGCAGCAGCTGCGACCCCCCGCTTGCTGCGCTGGGCAGTGTTGGCTGCTGCTGCCCACCCGGAGTGTGCGCTGCACAGCCCAGAGGCGACAGTGGCAAACATTGCCTGGCGCGGCAAGCGGGGGCGGGGCCCGCAGGTCCTGTCGCCATGCGCAGCCCCGACAGGCGAGCCCAGAGCTGGCGCGAGACCCAGGCTGGCAGTGGGGCTGGGTTACAAAGTGGTGCTGAGCACGGTCGGGAAAAGCAGACTCTCCCTGCCCCATGCCTGGTGCCCCACGCTGCAGCCGCTCGCAGCTCGCCTGGGACTGCCTGTGCCTGCTCCAGACAGCCCCGCATGGGCTGCGAGCAGCTGCAGCAGGGAGCACCAGCCACGGGGCAGGCAAGGAGCCACTTTCCTCCATGCTGGGATGGAGCAAGAAAGGAGCCCAGGGAAAAGCTGAGTGCAGGGGGGAAAATCCTGGGTCCTACTGCCCTTGGTTCCTGTAATTTTTGACAGGAACCAAGGGCAGATATATATTAATTTTCCACATGGGTATGTTGCCCACCCCTGCTTTAGAGGAATATGGCAATGGGCTTCCCCAACCAGTCTATGAGTGGTGTCTGGGCTCAGCTTCAGCCCTTTTCCTACCCCTGAGCTAAGGAGCATGGGCAGGCGTATGGGTATCACAGCTATTCTGTATCTCCCAGAACTGCAAGAGAGCCACTAAAAGCAGTATGTGCGTGTTCGAGTAGTCCAGAGGCTGCATTACCTTGCAAGGTAGCCAAGGAGCCAGGCAAGTCCCCACACAGCCCTTTACCACAGGTAGGGCAACGCTGGCTGGACGCCACCTTTCTCTCCCACCTTAGACAACCCCTGTGTGGTATAGGATTAGTAAATAGTTTGTCTGGTTCAAATATGCCACCTGCCTTGGGTATGGGACTGACCTGAATTAATCCACCGCACCTTCAGAGAGTTGCCCACCAGGACCTGCTGCTAATACTTATGGCTAATTTAGCAAGGGAGCTACGAAGGCAACAGCTGTCACGCTGTAGATACATCGGTGCAGCTACTCTCTCGGCGTGCATCCTTAATCCTTTGCCGTCTCCTTGTGCTCTAAAAGTGTATTTGACCTTTCAAGAGTTATCTGGAACAATTGCCTATCATGGTAGATTTAAAGATACATTAAGTGACTATTGGAAAACAAACCAAATAGATATAATTTGACCCCCAACGGTGGATGCTGGTATGGGAGATTCAATCCAACCTCTTAAGACTGCAATCATATATACCTGCCTGCAAAGTCCGCTCCAGCCCTGATTGGCAAAACCCCTTCAGATTAATATTTTATTTTATTTATTTCCTTTCCATTTGGAGTAATAACAAGCTGCTGTACACATCCTCTGACCACCCTGCAAATTAATTAAAATGATGAATCAAAAAATGCAGTTCAGCCAGCTAAGCCCTTCTGCTCAGTCTAATTAAAACCAACCCCTGGAGGGGTGTGAATAATTGATTTTTTGGGTCACTGGCCGAACAAAAAAAAAAAAAATTAAAAATGTGTTTGAGCTTGACCCACAAGATTTTTTTTTCTCCATTTTTTTGCAAAATGGGAAACTGGAAACACATAAACAAACTTACAAAAAAAGCCTGGGCCATTTTAGGTCAACTAAAATGAGGTTTTCTGACCCACCTTTTTTGGTTTTTAACTCTTTTTCAGTTAAATGTGGGCAGATTTCAACCCCGGAATCTTATTTTGAAACCAAACATGAAAATGGAGAAGGGAAAAGGGGGAAACAAAAGCATTTGACTTTTCCCTTTAAAAAAAAAAAAAAAAAAAAAAAT